AAATGCAACCCAGAACAAAACTCAAAATATATGTATAGGAATAAAAAATATCTAGTCACCAAAAAGGTAAAATTCATGGCTGACATGCAACAGAAAATTAATTGGCATGCAAAGAACCTGGAAAATAAGACTCATAATGCAGAAAAAAACCCGTCTATCAAAACATCCCTAGAGGGGTGACATCTGTGAAAATGGAAGAATAAGGACATGTAAAAATTCTCTCTTCTATAACGGCAGTGAGAAAATGGGCAAAATTTGCCGGATCAGTTTTATCAGAACTCTGGAAACTGACCAAAGACTTGCAGCAATCCAGAAGGCATTTATTCAATAAACATGGCTTACTCTTGGTAAGAAGAGCAAGTTCTGTGATGGTTTAACTTCCTCTATGTCCATCCTCTTCTTTCTAGCTCCATGGAAACCTTTAAAATCAACAGCCCTGTAATTATGGTGAAACCAGAATTCTGGCAGCCACTGGAGGGGAGCAGAACAGGTTTGGGCATCATTCAAATCCACATTCTTAGAGAATTGTCATGATTTGAACTGTTTAGTGATTTTCTGGAAGACCCCACTTGCAAGAATCTCTTTGTTTGAGCTGACTTGCTCAGTTCTAAAAATCTAGGGACATTTGTTGCGCTCAATGAAAAACCATTGTTTAACTTTGCAGTTTCCAGGATGCCGAAAAACAGTTGGAGCAACAACAGGCTAGCCAAAAAAGCTTAAAAGGAAAAACTAGGGAATAAGATGTTCATCAGAGCTTTGAAAAGCTCCATTGTATTAGTGAGATCTAGATGGCTGTGAACATGCATCAGATTGTACACATGTCCAGGTCTGTCTGCAAGCTCAGGAAGCATCTGAGGAGGGCCTGCAGCCTCTCCTCCAGCTGACCTCAAGGCTCTACACAAACAGAAAGTTAGGATTAAGGAACTGTTGTCATCTACCTGATGAGTGTTGAAGGCCACACCCTACTCCCAATCCCCCGAAACACAGAACTTTGGCAAAGTCTAGGGAACCAAAATTATTGGTTCCAGAGATTAAAGAAATTACTGTTCAGTCATAGCTGACAACTAAACTAAGTGAGCAGAGACTTCAGGGGCCATGTATGACAAATAATACAGACTTTACAGTTAGCTCAGAAAAGTCACTAAAGAAAAAAACAACAACAAACAGCAGCAACAACAAACCCTGGGGAGGAGGGAGACGCTGAATAGATTTATCACAAGTAAAGAGATTAAATGTGTAACCAAAACACTTCACATAAGAAAAGCCCAGGACCAAATGCTTAAAGAATTAGCACCAAGCCTGATAAAACTCTTCCACAAGATAGAAGAAAAAGGAGTACTGCCTAACTCATCCTATGAAGCCAGTATTTCCCAAAACCAGACAGACATCACAAAAAAATAAAACTATAGACCAATATTTCTTAAGAATATAGATGTAAAGTTCTTCAACAAAACACTAGCAAAACAATTCCAGCAACACATAAAAAGGATTATACACCATGACGAAGTAAGATTTATCCCAGGAATGCAAGGTTATTGTAACATATGAAAGTCAATCTATGTAATACACCATACTAATAGAAGAATGAACAAAAAGTATGATAATTTCAGTAAATGCAGACAAAACATTTGACAAAATCTAACACACTTTCATAATATACACACGAAGCAAACTGGGACTAGAAGGGTACTTCTTCAATGTGATAAAGAGAATCTACAGAAAATCCATAGTTAGCATACTGAATTAGGAAAACTAAAAGTTTTCCTACAAACAGCAGGAACAAGACTGGAATGTCTGTTTTTACCACTTCTATTTAACATTATTCTGGAATTTCTAGACAGGGAAATTAGACAAGGAAAAGGAACAAAAGGCATCCAGCTTTAAAGCAAGAAGTAAAACTATATTTGTAGATAAGATGACATTGTAAGTAGAAAATCCCATTCAATCCACACACTAAATAATTAACCCCCCCTGCCAAAACTTTTAATACACAAAAAACAGTTCTATTTCTATACACTAGCAATGAATAATCAGAAAATGAAACTAATAGAACAATTCCATTTACAGAAGAATACAAAATACTCAGGAATAAATTAAACAAAAGAAGTGCAAGATTTGTACACTATATGATATACTTGAAATAAGTCAAAACCTAAATTAATTAATGGAAATTCATCCCACATTCAGAGATAAGAAGACAATATTATTAAGATAATAATATTTACCAAATTAATCAAGAGTCGTTGCAACCTCTAACAAAATCTCAGCTGACTCTTACATAGAACTTGACAAACTGGTCCTAAAATTCATATGGAAATGTAAGAGACTCAGAATAGCCCAGTAATCTTAAGGAGGAAGGAAAAGAGTTGGTTCACTCATACTTCCTGACTTCAAAACTTACTATAAAATTATAGTAATCAAGACTACTTGATTACTATCAATATAATATTGATATTATAATAATATATTGATAGGCATATAGATCAAGAAAATAGAATTGAGAGTTCGGAAATAAACCAATATATTTATGGTCAATTGTCAATTGATTTTTGACAAGGATGCCAAGCTAATTCAATGGGGGAAAGAATAATTTTTTCATGCAGAAGGACGAAGTTAGACCCCTACCTCACATCACATACAAAAATTAACTCAAAATGTATCAAACTCCTAATTGTCTGAGTTAAAATTATAAAAGTCTAAGAAGAAAACATAGATATAAATCTTTGTGACCATGAAGTAGGCAAAAGTTTCTTAGATATGATACTTAAAGCACAAAGAACTAAAACAAAAAACAAAATTTCACTTCATCAAAGCATACTATTAAGAAAGAGAAAAGATAACCCACAGAATTGGAGAAAATATTTGCAAATCATCTAACTGATAAAAGTTGGTACCCAGAATATATAAATAATTTACAACTCACCCAGTGAAAAAATGAGCAGCCAGGTATGGTGGCTTATGCTGTAGTCCGAGCACTTTTGTAGGCCCAGAAGGGATGATCCCTTGAGCCCAGGAGTTCAACACCAGCCTGGCCAAGACAGGGAGACCCCATTTCTAAAAAAAAAAAAAAAAAAAAGAAAAAAGAAGCCAGAAATGGTGACACATGGCTGTAGTCCCAGCTACTCAGGAAGTTTAGGTGGGAGGATTGCTTGAGCCCAGGAGGTCAAAACTTCAGTGAGCTGTATCACTGCACTCCAGCTTGGGCAACAGAACAAGAGAGCATTTCAAAAAAAAAAAAAAAAAAGGGGCAGGAGATTTGAATAGACATTTATCTAAAGATACACAAATAACTAACATATACACAAAAAGATACTCAACATCATTAGTCATAAGAGAAATGCAACTTAAACATAAAATAGATACCATTTCATACATACTAGGATGGTTATGTTAAACAAAAATAGATGGATTATAACAAGTGCTGATGATGACTGATGATGATATGGAGAGAGAAATAGGAACCTTTATACATTGCTGATAGGAAAGAAAAATGGTGTGCCCACTGTGGAAAACAGTTTAGCAGTTCCTCAAAAAACTAAATAGAATTACAATACCCAACTATTCTATTCCTAGGAATATGCCCAAGAAAATTGAAAACATATGTCCACACAAAAACTTGTATGCAAATGTTTCTAACAGCATTATTCAAACGTCAAAAATGGAATCAATCCAAATGTCCACCAACTGACAAATAAATAGACAAAATATAGTATATTCCTACAATGGAATATTATTTATCATAAAAAGGAATGAAGCAATGATGTATGGTAAAATTTGTATAAAGTTTTAAAATATCATGCTAAGTGAAAGAAGCTAGACACAAAAGACCACATATGGTATGATTACATTTATACCAAATGTGCAGAACAGACAAATCCATAGATACGGAAACAGATTAGTGGTTGTCTGAGACTAGGAGAAAATGTGAGAATAAGGAATTACTACTTATGGGTGCAGATATTTTTTTGGGAGTGATAAAAAGGTCTGGGATTAGATCATGGTGATGCTTGCACATACAGGTGATTATACTAAAATTCATTAAATTATAAACATGCGCATAGATGTTAGGATTAGATGTCCAGAAGAGGATGTTAAAATTATAATTTAAAAAAAACTTCAAGAAAAAAATAAAAATTGGAAAATTTTACCTGCAAAAAAAAATAGTAACTATGTTTCATATGTTCAAAATGTTAAGTAGAGATATGGAAGATATAAAAAAGTTGAAATTAAACCTCTAAAGATGAAGATGATAATTGCTTAGATAAGAAACAGACTGGTTGGGGATCAGACATCAGAAAGAACAGAAAAGCAAACATAAAGTCATCCATATAGTGGAATATTATTCAACAATAAAAGAAAAAACTATTGATACATACTACAACCTGATCAAATCTCAAAATACTTACATCACAGTAGATAAAAAAGTATATACTGTATGATCCACTTATATAAAACTCTATAAAATGAAAACAAGTATAGTGATAAATCACTGCTATAGAAAACAGGTGAGGTCACTTATTGGGTGGGGAGGGAAAAAGGAGGTGGGGGGAGAGATTATAAAGCAGCACAAGGAAACTTTTGGGAGTGACGGAGATGCTCTTTATTTTGAAAATGGTACTGGTTTTATGGCTGTGTACATGCGTTCAAACTTATTAAGCTATATATTTTGAATATATGTAGTTTATGGTTCATCAATTACACCTTGATAAAGCCATTTCTCAAAAGTGGACAAGTGTACAGGGCCAGTTTGCCAAACTGTTCCTGGTGGTTGATTTCACAGTTGGCACCTACTGACACTTCAGACTTGCACAAGTTTAACACATGTCACTATTACTCTATTTGCACCATCCAACTGTCAGTGGTCTCATTCCTTAGATTGATATGCATACCATTATCTGCCCTCATATTCAAATTTTATACCCAGTTTCAGCTGTATCAAATTGTAGATCCCGCTGCTTTATCAAGGAGCAAAAATTCTCAACTTCCTGTCTTTACCTTACCTGTGATGAGTCTGCTGTTACCACAATGTAATTGCAAGGAGGGTTCCTGCAATTCTTGGATGTAAGAGATATGGTTGAAGAATTATAGACTATTTCATTCACTTGTCCAATTTGGCTATCTGTGCACTCCGTTCGTTGATGTGAATCTTTTCTCTCACATGATGTTGAACACTAGAAATGCAATAACCAAATGAATAACACATTCTTACATGCAGTGTCTTTGAAAATTTACTTGTCGATACTCACATTCAGCCTCTCTCTTTCCATCCCCTTGTGGTGCACACAGTCCTGACTCCAACATCGTCTCTGAGAACAAGGTCGGGTGGACTGATCACACATTTCTTCAACCACTCGACCAATACCTTTCAGTCTGCAGTATATATCCCTCTGCTGAACTCCAGAGCCGCAGGTCACAGAGCACTACAAAGGAGTCCCGTTGATTTGAACAATTAGCTAAGAAATACCAAATTATATAAAAATAGCCAATGGAGCCATCACATATTGTTTATTTTAAATACAGCCTGGTATTATAACATGAATTAGATAAAAATACATACAATAAGTATTTTTACCATTATCTCTGTAAATGTATATTTTCTCTGTTTGGCATAAGGTACTTCAGCTTTACAGAAACTCTGACAAGTGAATCAAGTTATAGTAGACAGCATCCCAATCAATGACTCTGTCTTCTGACTTAAATGAGTATAATGTCTATCACAATTAATCATGAATTATTCCACAACATTGCTTTTAAATGTCAATTAAATTCTTAGATTATACTCATTATCTCTCTCAAAGAGACAATAATTTCTAAGATTGTGATAATTCATCTTTTTATCTACAGTACCTACTATAGTTTTTACCTGTTATGGAATCCAAATACTTGCTAATTTTTTTTATACTTTAAGTTCTGGGATACATGTGCAGAACATGCAGGTTTGTTACATAGGTACACATGTGTGGTGGTGGTTTGCTGCACCCATCAACCCATCATCTTCATTAGGTATTTCTCTTAATGCTATCCCTCCCCTTGCCCCCAAACCCCCTCAACAGGCCCCAGTGTGTGATATTCCCCTCCATGTGTCCATGTGTTCTCATTGTTCAACTCCCACTTATGAGTGAGAACATGCGGTGTTTGGTTTTCTGTTCCTGTGTTAGTTTCCTGAGAATGATGTTTTCAGCTTCATCCATGTCCCTGCAAAGGACATGAACTCATGTTTTTTTATGGCTGCATAATATGCTACAGTGTATATGTGCCACATTTTCTTTATCCAGTCTATCATTGATGGGCATTTGGGTTGGTTTCAAGTCTTTGCTATCGTGAATAGTGCTGTAATAAACATACATGTGCATGTGTCTTTATAAAAGAATGATTTATAATCCTTTGGGTATATACCCAGTAATGGGACTGCTGGGTCAAATGGTATTTCTGGTTCTAGATCTTCGAGGAATTGCCACACTGTCTTCCACAATGGTTGAACTAATTTTCACTCCCACCAACAGTGTAAAAGTGTTCCTATTTCTCCACATCCTCTCCAGCATCTGTTGTTTCCTGACTTTTTCATGATCACCATTCTAACTGGCATGAGATGGTATTCATTGTGGTTTTGATTTACATTTCTCTAATGACCAGTGATGATAAGCTTTTTTTCATATGTTTGTTAGCCACATAAATGTCTTCTTTTGAAAAGTGTCTATACATATTATTCACCCACTTTTTGATGGGGTAGTTTGTTTTTTTCTTGCAAATTAGTTTCTTTGTAGATTCTGGATATTAGCCCTTTGTCACACAGATTGCAAAAATGTTAATGCATTCTGTAGGTTGTATGTTAATTCTCATGATAGTTTTTTTGCAGAAGCTCTTTAGTTTAATTAGATCCCATTTGTCAATTTTGGCTTTTGTTTCCATTGCTTTTAGTGTTTTAGTTATAAAGTCTTTGCCCATGCCTGTGTCCTGAATGGTATTGCCTAGGTTTTCTTCTAGGGTTTTTATGGTTTTAGGTCATATGTTTAAGTCTTTAATTCAAATTTTTGTATAAGGTGTAAGGAGGGGGTCCAGTTTCAGTTTTCTGCATATGGCTATCCAGATTTCCCAACACCATTTATTAAGTATGGAATCCTTTCCCCATTGCTTGTTTTTGTCAGGTTGTCAAAGATCACATGGTTGTAGATGTGTGGTGTTATTTCTGAGGCCTCTATTCTGTTCCATTGGTCTATGTATCTGTTTTGGTACAAGTACCGTGCTGTTTTGATTACTGTAGCCTTGTGGCATAGTTTAAAGTCAGGTAGTCAGTTTTCAAAGAGAATGCTTCCAGTTTTTGCCCATTCAATATGATATGGGCTGTAGGTTTGTCATAAATATCTCTTATTATTTTGTGATACGTTCCATCAGTACCTAGTTTATTGAGAGTTTTTAGCATGAATGGGTGTTGACTTTTTTCAAAGGCATTTTTCTGCATCTATTGAGGTAATCATGTGGTTTTTGTCATTGGTCCTGTTGATGTGATGGATTACATTTATTGATTTGTGTATGTTGAACTAGCCTTGCATCCTAGAGATGAAGCCAACTTGACTGTGGGGCATAAGCTTTGTGATGTGCTGCTGGATTCAGTTGGCCAGTATTTTATTGAGGCTTTCTGCATCCATGTTCATCAGGGATATTGGCCTGAAATTTTCTTTTTTTGTTGTGTTTCTGCCAGGTTTTGGTATCAGGATGATGCTGGCCTCATAAAATGAGTTTGGGAGGAGTCCCTCTTTTTCTATTGTTTGGAATAGTTTCAGAACGAATGGTACCAGCTCCTCTGTGTACCTCTGGTACAATTCGTCTGTAAATCTATCTGGTCCTGTGCTTTTGGTTGGTAGGTTATTAATTACTGCCTCAATTTCAGAACCTGTTACTGGTCTTTTCAGGGGTTTGATTTCTTCCTGGTTTAGTCTTGGGAGGGTGTATGTGTCCAGGAATTTATGCATTTCTTCTAGATTTTCTAGTTTATTTGTATAGAGGTGTTTATAGTATCCTCTGATGGTAGTTAGTATTTCTGTGGGATCAGTGATGATATCCCTTTTATCATTTTTTATTGTGTCTATTTGATTTTTCTCTCTTTTCTTGTTTATTAGTCTGGCTAGTGGTCTATTTTGTTAATCTTTTCAAAAACCCAGCTCCTAGTTCATTGATTTTTTTATTATACTTTATATTTTGGGATACATTTGTAGAACATGCAGGTTTGTTACACAGGTATACACATGCCATGGTGTTTTGCTACACCTATCAAACCATAATCCACATTAGGTATTTCTCCTAATGCTTTCACTCCCCTAGCCCCCTGCACCCCAACAGGCCCTGGTGTTTGATGTTCCCCTTCCCGTGTCCATGTGTTCTCATTGTTCAACTCCCACTTATGAGTGAGAACATGCAGTGTTTGGTTTTCTGTACCTGTGTTAGTTTCCTGAGAATGATGGCTTCCAGCTTCATCCATGTCCCTGCAAAGGACATGAACTCATCCTTTTTTTATAGCTTCATAGTATTCCATGGTATATATGTGCCACATTTTCTTTATCCAGTCTATCCTTGATGGATCCAGGATATCCTTGACTGCATTTGGGTTAGTTCAAATTATTTGCTATTGTGAACAGTGCTGCAATAAACATATGTGTGCACATGATTTTTATAGTAGAATGTTTTATAATCCTCTGCATATATACCCAAAATGGGATTGCTGGGTCAAATGGTATTTCTGGTTCTAGATCTGAGGAATCACCATACCATCTTCCACAATGGTTGAACTAATTTACTCTCCCACCAACAGTGTAAAAGTATTCTTATTTCTCCACATCCTCTCCAGTATCTGTTGTTTCCTGACTTTTTAATGATCACCATTCTAACTGGCGTGAGACGGTATCTCACTGTGGTTTTGATTCGCATTTCTCTAATGACCAGTGGTGATGAGCTTTTTTTCATGTTTGATGGCCCCATAAATGTTTTCTTTTGAAAAGGGTCTGTTCATATCCTTCACCCACTTTTTAATGGGGTTGTATTTTTCTTGTAAATTTGTTTAAGTTCTGTGTAGATTGTGGCTATTATCTCTTTGTCACATGGATAGATTGCAAAAATTTTCTCCCATTCTGTAAATTGCCTGTTCACTCTGCTGATAGTTTCTTTTGCTGTCCGGAAGCTCTTTAGTTTAATTAGATCCCATTTGTCGATTTTGGCTTTTGTTGCCATTGCTTTTGGTGTTTTAGTCATGAAGTCTTTGCCCATGCCTATGTCCTGAATGGTATTTCCTAGGTTTTCTTTTAGAGTTGTTATGGTTTTAGGTCTTATGTTTAAGTCTTTAATCCATCTTGAGTTAATTTGTGTATAAGGTGTAAGGAGGGGGTCCAGTTTCAGTTTTCTGCATATGGCTATGCAGTTTTCCCAATGCCATTTATTAAATATGGAATCCTTTCCCCATTACTTGTTTTTGTCAAAGATTTTGTCAAAGATCAGAGGGTTGTAGTTTTGTGATGTTATTTCTGAGGCCTCTGTTCTGTTTCATTGGCTATTAATTACTGCCTCAATTTCGGAATTTGTTATTGGTCTATTCAGGGATTTGACTTCTTCCTGGTTTAGTCTTGCAAGGGTTTATGTGTCCAGGAGTTTATCCATGTCTTCAAGATTTTCTAATTTATTTGCATAGAGGTGTTTATATTATTCTTTTGTGGTAGTTTGTATTTCTGTGGGATCAGTGGTGATATCTTCTTTATCATTTTTATTGTGCTTACTTGATTCTTCTCTCTTTTCTTCTTTATTAGTCTGGCAGTAGTCTATTTTGTTAATCTTTTCAAAAAAACACGTCCTGGATTCATTGATTTTTTGAAGGGTTTTTCATGTCTCTATTTTCTTTGGTTCTGCTCTGATCTTAGTTATTTCTTGTGTTCTGCTAGTTTTCATATATGTTTGCTCTTGCTTTTCTAGTTCTCCTTCGCTTATGAAGCTTAGTTTGGCTGGACATGAAATTCTAGGTTGAAAATTATTTTCTTTAAGAATGTTGAATATCGGCCCCCACTCTCTTCTGGCTTGTAGGGTTTCTGCAGAGAGATCCGCTATTAGTCTGATGGGCTTCCCTTTGTGAGCAACCAGACCATTCTCTCTGGATGTCCTCAACATTTTTTTCTTCCATTTCAACCTTGGTGAATCTGTCAATCATGTGTCTTGTGGTTGCTCTTCTCCAGGACTATCTTTGTGGTGTTCTCTATATTTCCTGAATTTGAATGTTGACCTGTCTTGCTAGATTGGGGACGTTCTCCTGAATAATACCCTGAAGAGTGTTTTCCAGCTTGGTTCCATTCTCCCTGTCACTTTTAGGTACACCAATCAAACGTAGGTTTGGTCTTTTCACATTGTCCCATATTTGTCAGAGGCTTTGTTCACTCATTTTCAT